GACTTGACTAAAATAAAATCTATAGATATAAAACAGTTCAAGCATATAACAATGTTTAAACGTTAAACCTAGATAAATGTGCGCTATATCCAATAGTTTGCGCAGAGAGTGGAAGCTAAAGTGCGCTTTGCAGGACATAGAGGCGCCAGGGCGATCATTTGCATTTTTTTTCAGTGGATACACCGTCATTTTTGCTCATAAAGGTAAGAGTAATACACCATTCGTAACTGTAAAGGGTCTACTTTTATTTGTGTGCACTCACAATATCAACAAAACGTTGTGCTTTTATAAAATAAGGAAAACAAACACGATGCACTTTCTGCCGTCTCGTCTTGAACAGGCACGCTTCACGAAAATGAACCGAAACTCAGCGAATACATGCCTCACAGACATGATAAATATATCTATAGAAAGCTTTAAATTACTACTTAACGAAATAAAACAAATCAAAAACAAAAACTCCATAATCCGTAAAGATGCACTTCTCTCTAAAGGCGCGTCTTATAAAGAGATGGCGAGTCAGGATCGGCAACTTCATCCTTGCGACACCGACTCAGAAAACACTAGTTTATTAGTAAATAATTAAAATATCTCCTTACTGTTTCCCCCTGACGCATTTATGGTAATTACTTTTGCCGATGCTTTGCGGCAAACTTAAGCCTATTGCGTGCATTTGAACGCAGAACTCTTCAGCTGTTCACAAAAATTGGGTGTTATTTATGGGGAGTAGAATTATTTATTTATTTCAATGAATGTAATCGATTAGATATCATAATATTTAGGCTATAATATTATAAATCAGGTTGGTTTGTATTGCTGATGTAATATGTAAATGATATGCGTGCGGCCCGCGAGACTTGCACTTGGACCATAGTGCGGCCCGGTGGAAAAAAAGGTTGAGAACCACTGCTTTAGGCACTAGTAACTTTTTAAAGATACTTGTACATTAATTAGATACTAATTTAATAGATACTAGCACTTATTTCAACAGAGACTAGTAATTATTCGACTGTTACTAGTAACAAATTTTACATTTTTGCCATTGAATTCTATGGGGATCGGTCATTGAGATACCAACAATTCAGTTCTGAGTAGTATGTATTCCAATAGTGACTAGTATCTTTTTTTTTTATATTAATAGTAAGCATTCATCAGATACATGTACTTATTTATTAAAAGATACTAGTACTTAGTAAAATAAAATAAAAAATCTTACCAGTAACATCTGGAATAAGTACTAGTATTTAATAATAAGTAGCATTATCTATTTAATAGGTACAAGTATCTAATAAATAAGTACTAGTATCTAATAATAGGTACTTGTATCTAAAACATAAGTACTAGTGCCTAATAAATAGCTACTAATATATTAGACATGTACTAGTCACAAATGGAATAGATACTAGTCAAACTGAATAGTTGATATCTGAATGACTAATCCCCATAGAAATCAATGGCAAACATTTTAAGTGTTACTAGTAACAACAGAATAGTTACTAATCACTACTGAAATAGGTACTAGTATCTAACAAATAAGTACTAGTGTATATTTAATAGGTACTAGTATCAAATGAATGATTACCAGTATCTAACAAACAAGTACTAGTATCTTTAAAAAAAAAAGTACCTAAAGAATAAGCACTAGTAGTTAATGAATAAGTACTATTGCCTAATGGAATAGATACTAGCAGCTAAAAAAATATGCACAAGTAACATGAAAATAGTATGTTTTAAGGATTAAATGTTAAATTGGCTTGCCATAGTGTCTGAACACTTCAGGGAGGATTCAGAATTAATTATTTGTACATGTTTTTAGTACCAATTTTAGTACTGAACAAAACAAAACAGTGAGAGTTGGTGTAAAAGTGTCTCTTCTTGTCTTTCAGTCCTATATCACTGTGGAGGAGCTTCGTCGTGAACTCCCACCTGAGCAGGCCGAGTACTGCATCTGCCGCATGACCAAGTACTCCGGCCCCGATGCCTCCCCTGGAGCCCTGGATTACATCTCCTTCTCCAGTGCCCTTTACGGAGAGAGCGATTTATAAACGCTCTGAATGTCTTTTTTGTTCTCTTTCTTTCCTCTAATTTTCTCCAAGCCCCCAGATGTAGCTTTCGATTTGCGAGGGAGTTAGCAATATCCCTCGTTTCCCCTCTCTGTTTTTCTGTCTGCTAGCTTTAACATCATATTTGTTT